CGCGGGCGAGGTATATAGGGGCGGGGAGGCGGAGGCGGAGGAGGGGGGTTTGGGTCGGGTGGGGTGGGGGAGTGGGGAGGAGGAAGGTGGAGAGGAAGGTGAGGGTGGAGCGGAGGAAGGAGGAGGGGAGACAGCGAGAGGGGAAGGAAGAAGAGGAGGCCTTCCCGTGTGTCGCTGGTCAGTCGGTCAAACCGTCAAACTGCCTCGCCTCCCATTGTCAACACACCTCCCTACCCTCTTTCAGACCATTTCTTCCCTTCTGTTCTTGTCTCTTTCTTTCCTTGTTTCTCCTGGTGTAACATAATTTTTATGTTTAGCTTTTAGCTTGTTCTTATATACTACTCCGTTCTAAAATATAAGTCTTTGTAGAGATATCATTATGGACCACACACGGATGTGTATAGATGCATTTTAAGCGTAGATTCACTCATTTTGCTCCGTATGTAGTCTATAATGAAATCTCTACAAAGACTTATGTTTAGGAACGGGAGAGTAGTTACTTGTCTGATTATTCGTTTTGTTTGGTGTCGTAGACTAACTTGTAATTATCTGGTTAGAAGGATGTTAGGGCATCTTTAACGCTGTCTGCGGATCTGTGGATATATGGATGCCGGAGCAGGCCATCCAACGTTGTCCGCATACATTTCAAACACCTTTTCAACAAACCGAATGAAATCCATGCAGACACAAACTAAAAAAAGATAAAACCATGTGCATGTCGGGTCGCGCGGATCTCCTGTCACATGACACAGATACACTACCCTAGTCTACGACCTGCCGCGGCGGATCCCTTTGTTTTCCCCATGTCCAGCAGATTGCCGTAAGCCCCGGAGGTATATTCTTTCCTGTATCTTCCCTATTTTCGATTGCGCCGCTCATCAGAGTGGCAAAGGGGGTGCTTCAGCTGGAGGGAAGGGAGGCTCCTCCGCTTCCGTGGAGGCCAGGCGGGGTCGACAATGGTTTGTGATAAAGAACCGGACAATTCATCGGTTGTGCAAGCCGGTGACGCGCCGGCGGTGGCCTTCCTGGGACCCAACCAGCGGTGTCCTCATGTGTTCTACTTTACCTCGACGTTGGTGGTGGACGTGGACGCGCTGGCCAGCGACTCATCGATCTCCGCATAGCCGACTTCTTTCTCTGCCGGCAGGTCCTCGTTACGCACGCGTTGACGGCGAATGATGCGGTCGCAGGCACGAGAGGCGCGTACGACACGGCATCGTCCACGGGAGCCGCAATCCCCGTGCCGCCGTGCCCTCCCTCCCCCCGGCCTGGAGCAACCCGCCACTCCCCCACTTGCTACGTCGGGCTAGACGAGGGAGATGGACCAGCGAGTTGCCTGGATCGCATCCGACGGGCTCAGCGGGCAACCCCAGCCAACTTTAACGCCGGTGAACTCCTCTTCTTGCTCGTCAGGTGCCATGGAGATTGTGGAGAAAATGTCCTCTCCCTATTTTGAACGATTCAATGTCCTGCCAATTTGATGCTTCATGAATCGTCTGGTTCCCCTCGATGATCCACTTTTCTCATTTTACTTGTTCGACCACCATTTCATATCTCCCATTCCTTGCCTCATTCACCACTCCATCGAGTGTCCTCCAGAAGCCGTCCAAGGCCGTGGAGGTGGCTCACCGCCTTCAGCAACAACATGTGTGATGGAGTACATCTCCAGGATCTATGACGACGAGAATGAGCATGAGGTGAAGCAAACATGCATGGTGTAATCTGTAATGTTCCGGACGCTAGCTATAGCTAAGATCTAAAGTAGCTCCACAGAACAACACTAGTCTTATTCTCAAATTGCTCCAAGCTAAGAAGGAATTTCTTATTGCTATGTTTAACTTTGAGGTTCCTTGCTGATGAGCTCCTAAAAAACAAAATTCCTTATATTTTTATATGTGCAGTATGTCCATCCTATTAACCCGGATGTTATACATGGCCTTTTGAGATTAGAGGGAGTGTACAAAATAATCTTTGTACTATGGTTTTCTCAAAAAGAAAACAAGGAAAAGTAATAGTAGACACTAGTGTTGGGCATGCTTCCAACACGGTTGGTAGATCATCATTGGTAGGTGAGATATTAGTTTCTTTATTCCAGAATCGGTATATGCAAATTTTATCAGGGACGAAGGCGCTCATAGTCCTTAAACATCTACTCCCTCCGTTCCTAAATATAAGTCTTTGGAGAGATTTCACTATGAACCACATATAGAGCAAAATGAGTGAATTTATACTCTAAAATGCATCTAGATACATCCGTATGTGGTTTATGATGAAATCTCTACAAAGACTTATATTTAGGAACGGAGGGAGTATCTTTCTCGAAATATCTGAACATGCATTGAGCTATCTTACACAGGTGTCAGCTAACGATTTGTATAATGTGCTCCCAGACTAGCTAAGCATGATCGGCCAGTGCTAATTTCCTGGTGGTTCTATACCAGCAGCCACTTAATTATAATAATACTACTCCCTCTGTCCCATCATATAAAAACACGTTTCATATTATGTGACGGAGGGAGTATGAATTAAATTTGATTTGATTGCCTGACAGCGCTATGTTGGTCGTCTCTCCTCTGCAGACTAGATAGGGAGGGATTAAGCAGATCAACTGTGTCATGCCAGGAAAAAACTTTTGTAATATATACACTCAGCGTGTGTTGACTTCCCATGCGTCGTAGCCGGGTAGATTCCTCCTTGGACACGATCTTGGGCAAAACAACTTTCCTTCATGGACCGAAAATCATCTGTATTTAAGAGGGAAAATTGTCAAAAGATGCAACACGACAATCAACATACATGTTACATCAGTCTGCAAACCCCTCCTCTCCCCCTCCCCCCGCCCCCCGCCCCATGTCGATCCTGCGGGGCGACATCTAAGGCGACATAAACTTAGCCACCGCCACCCACTCGCCCACCTCTCCACCCTCGACTCCGGCACGCTACCAGAGGAAGCTAGCGGGAAAGCCCGCGTCACTACCGAGGATGGCGGCGGCGAGGCGTTCGTTCGTTGTGTGTTTCAGCTGCCAGATCAAGCTGGCAATTTCCTCTCCGCCCCGGTACCCCGACCGGCGAGCAGGAAAATCTATGTCTCACCTTTAACGAGACAGAAGTCAAGCTCGCCTACAGAAAGCCAATAGCCAGGTCAAGTTGGTTTCATCACGCTGACGTACCACACGTGTTTCTTACATTTTTTATATTTTTTTAAATACTAAATACATATATTACGAAAAAAATAATTTAATAAATTTTTGAAGAAGTATTCATCGCTCATCACGCGGTGCAAAAATAACATTCACTCAACTTTTAGAAAATGTTTGTACCATTAAAAATGTATGGGACGTCTAAAAATGTTCACACGTTTCAAAAAACGTATGTGACATTTAAAAAAGTTATAAAATGTAAAATCTTTGTGCAATTCCCATAATGTTACGGATCATTAAAAAATACGTTATATTTAAAAAAAGTCAAGAGCTTCAAAAATATATTTGTAACATTTAAAAAAATGTTCATAAAATGTGAAAAAATGGTTTATGTTTACATAGTTTGCAAACCTATTTTGTGTCATTCAAAAAATGTTTCAATGTGTATCTGAATCTTTTTGAGAAACTTTTAGTCATGTATTTTAAAAATGTTAAACATATATTAAAAATATTTAGATGTATACAAAATATGTACAATATGTATGAAAAAACTAGACATCAATATATATATTTGAGAAAATGTTAAAAATTGTATACAAAACTACTCCTAGTGCATACAAAAATGTATAATATGTATGAAAAAAAGTCGACGTGCATTAAAAAAGATTTTTTCTAAAGAAAATAAATAGTTTCCTCACTGAATTGGAATTCCAGTCCAATTCAATATGAAGATCCAAACAAAGTGTCCGGTAAAAAGGAGACTACTGCTCAGATAACCATGGTAGAAAACCGGGCCGAAACATTTGAGCAACATGCATTGTTTTTATCTCGCGAAAAGAAAAACATGCATTGTTTTCGTAGTCCAAACGACAGAGTTCGACCGGCCATGTCCGGTGTAATCACACCTTTGTTTATGTGTCTCGATAGGCAAAATAAGTTAGAAACGGTAAGAGCCGACATATCATTTTGAGATTTACGAAGTCACCGTATGCGCCTCATCGTCGAGGCGAACATCTCCTCCCACCACCGAAAGTGCATTGTTGGAAATCCTGAAATAAATCCGGGAGTAATGCGAGTACCAGGACTTGAAACCTGGTGGGCTGGGGATACCATTGTCCCTCTAGCCATCCAACCACAGGTTGATTTGCCGTCAACTTTTATTTGTGTGTTTAATGATGATCAGGCGCACATAGTCTTTAAATATTAAAAAAAAACTGTTTGTGTATGCATATGTGAAAATAAACATCGATCTCGTTGATTTGGTTTTTCTAGTTGACTGAATTGGTATTTACCAAACTTTTGAAAATCACCTATTGTAACTTGTAGTAGTGTATATATAAGAGTTGATTATTGGAGAGCGAAGTTGATGTACCCAACGCACACCACACGGACCCAGTGGGGCGG